AAACTCCACCTGAACAGATCCAAAATTTTTTATGCCGTAATCAAACAGTTTGCATGCCTTATACAAGCATAAAATTTGAGGCAAAGAAAATGAAATTCATGTATGCTGAATGAGAGAATCTCAATTTATACCATTTTTTCCCCCTAGATTATGCAAAAATCAAAGAACATGGCCATTCATGTGTATATTTTTAATGATGAGTCTCAGAATGACAAAGAAATTGAAGTGTTGGATCAGTCAACAGTTCAAACATTTAAGGACAGTGGTTTGCAAATTCATCGCTGTGGTAACTCCACTGAAAAAGTAGTTTATATCAGAAACAAATTTATTGCAGTAACTGATTTGGTTTCCAGTGCCACCTGTCTCTGTCTCTCTGTGGGTTTTTTTTAATAACAGCTCTTAATCTCTACTGTTCACTAATAAAAATATTTTAATAAGAGATAATACTGTAATCCAAATGCCTATAGGTACTTGAATCAACTATCTCTACGTATGTAATTGCTAACACTTTATTCAACCCTTTTTAAAATTGCTATTAAATCTCATTCTCATTTTCTGTATTAATAGAACAAGAATTCATTTTTAGTGTACCCTCAAAGCAGTAACGAGCATTGTTAACATGTAACAGCAATGCCCAAGGGGAAAGTTTTCAAAGCCAGTCTAACCTTAAGGCTTTGCTATTGATGTACTACAGAGTCATCAAGCCAAGAGCGCTTAGAGCTAGTCCAAGCTGAATATTTCTGCTTAAAATACTGGAAGAACTATAAATGGTTTAGGTGGTGACCTAGGGAGAAGGGGGATTTTTTGTTAAACAGCTGAAGATCGGAGGGGCAACATTACAAAAATAACTATACCTCCTGCGCATTTTAAAGTGTATCATACTATGCTTTTGTTCTGATTATTTTGCTTCCATGAGATTTTCATAAGAGGTAAATGAGAAAACATTAGCAAGACATGCAATATTGCACATGGGCAGGGGAGCTAAAACATAGTTAGTTATAAACAAACAATAGATGTTACTTTTTAATTGCTTTTTCAGAAGCTCAATTCCGCCTTCTTGAAGAAGTGTTATCTATCTTATTAAATGCAGAATATTATTTTATTTATTACGTGTAGCAAAAATAAACTTGTCTAAGCGAGCAGTGCTGCACTGATTCGAACTGAATGCCTTGGTCACAATAAAGCAGTCAAGGCCCCATAGACTGAAAGTCCTGTGTGAGTTGTAGTGCAGCAAAATGACCTCCCTGAGGGCTAGAATTTGGGGCTGAACCTTTAGGTTAGCTGAAGATAGTGGGAGTGGCTTCAGGAGTCTGTTTAGAGTACAAATTAAGAGGCACAAGGACAGTGTATTACAGCAGTGATACAGAATAACATCATTTTCATTGCACTTTTTGAGGTCTTGGTTTCACTACTGTGGAAAGTATAAGGGTACATTTTAGATGATGGTTGGATATTCCAACAGAGACGATACACCGTTTCAAAATCTAAAACTGTGTTGAGGAAGTAGGGGTAGAACTGTTCTTTTGTTGAATTCAGTTTGTCTATGAAATGAATGCATAAATTGTTGTCATTTTGCCGTCTTGATTCATAGCACTTGGTCACACTGTTGCCCTTTCCCTGGGTATAAGCTAAAGGTCATCATGTCCTAAAACAACTAAATGTGAATGGAGAAGTTCAGTAATGTCAAAGCTCAAAAATATCGACAGTCTAAGAAATGTGCTGCGTGTTGTGTATTTCTGTCCATTTTTTTGAAATGGGGGGTGAAAATATAGGTGGAATCTTAGTGGTTAAATAGGATTCAGACCCTTGCAATTTCATAAACTAGTTGTTTTTCACTTTAGGTCTGGGCCTGGTGGTGCTTTTCAGTAGAATAGTTGGTTTGTGTTGCAAGAAGGGACTTGTTAAGAGGGCACTCTAACAAGGGACCTCTTATAAGATTTTATTTAATGTTTGTTTTTAATTCTCAGAATGAATTAATTAGAGGTGAGATGTTGAATCTGATAGCAGGAGCATGTAAGTTTGTACAAAGCATGAATTAAGGCTTTATAGGTTTTCTTCCACCCCTCCTTCCAGATTACTCTATTACTACACTGTGTGCTTCACTGTCTTGTAAGAGATGTCCCTTGAGGTATACCTGTCCCTGAACTGAGAATAAAGCGTATATTTGAAATTCCACACATTCCATTTATCACCAAAAAATATGGCTTTCTCCTAGGCTGTTGCATAGGGAAGTTCATACCCCAGCTTATTTAGTCATCGTCTGCTTTGCATGCATCGTCAAAAAGGTGGTTGATGACAATACTGGAAGAGGAACCATCACTTCCAGCACATTTCTCAGTGACTGCTGAGCAGGTGTGAAGTGATACAGATTCTTCGACACCACATTGCACGCGCATTTCATATAGTTCAGTGCTTGTGTTTCACTGTTTGAACCTCAACAGAAAGCTGAGAGCTAGGTTTGAGGTAGAGATTTGCCACTCTTTTCAGGGTAAGGGTTCTGTTTTCCCCAATGTCCAGGAGGCTTGTCCTCAACAGGCCAGTTGCTGTATGGCCTCTCAGTGATCTCCAGTTGACTCAGAACTGCTGTGTCCAAACGGACTTTGTTATTTTTACCTTTGCTTGTGGACTAGCCGTATTCTCTGATCTCTAATCTATGGATTTGCAACAAGCTTGAACCTTTCCTGCTCAACAGCTGGTCTACTTTCTTTTGTCTTTTTCCTGTAGTCACCTCAATTTGTTTTGTCATTTTTTCAATAGGGAGAGAAAGAAAGGGAAAAGCCTTCCCTAGATCCACTCTGTCATCACCAGAGTCCAATTATGTTTGAGCTGTTCCCTAGCCATGTATCCTATTTCTTAAACAACTGTTGCCCTTCTGATATATTAATTCATACATAAAGCTGGCTTGGTTTTCCTTGAACTGCCTGCTACAGTTCCTCTCTGGTTCACACAGATGCATGTTCCTTTCTCCCTGCTGGGTTTAGTTGTCTTTTGAAAGAATGAATGGATATGAACTTCAGCTGATAAATCTGTGCATTTGAATCTGTGACTGATTTGTGGCCGGATTGTTTTTGATGACTTTTATCTGTAGATGATTTGCATCTATTTGGCTCAGACTCACTGGGGGTAACACATAGAATGAATGAATAAATAAATTTGAGGAAGAAGCAGGCAGAGAACAGTTGAATGAATGAGGGAATGAATGATAGGGAAGGAGAATGAGACTAAACAGAAAGGGATGGATAAATGGTGATTAAGAATTACAGAAAAATAAGGAACAAGCAGTGATCAAAGTAGAGAAAAGAAATAAAAAGGGTTCAAAACTGAAAAGAATAGAACATCTGAAAAGAATAGAAAGAGTGAAAAAGAAAGAAGTAAGAACTTGGTGCCTGATTACACCTAACAGGGCAGAAATGGGATACTTTTAATTATGTGAAAGGGCTAGGATTGTGCACCAGTGAAGGGAAGAGTTTGAACAGGGAACCGTGGGACCATGTCCCAGTTTGGGATGATGCACACTCATTACTCATTTCTTCACCCCTAATGAGTTGTCTGACACTCAGAGCAGTATATCTTGCCCATTTGGTCAAGTTAAGTGTTTGCTACAGGGCTTATGTACTCTGAACTCGCGTTGGCATTGTCTCTGTCTACCTTTTGCACAGCTCCATGTGGAATATTCCTGTAATGAATCCTCATTTCCCTCTTTCAAACTTGCTGGTTTGGCTTAGCATTTCTTTGTGCCCTCCTATCTGACTTTTGATCTTTCATCAGCATATACAATTAGCTAAAAAACAACGGCAAAACAATGAAGCACCATTAACAAGGCTTTCTTAGATGAACCTTATTGAAGCCCCCTTTTTTTTTCACATCCACTTCCATGTTCCTGCGTGTTATCTCTTGTCACGTTGCATCTCAGAAGCTCTGTTAGCACCTTCAGGCAGAGAGCACCATCGTTCAGTGTTATGCATTACACATGTACTGCACAGCACAAATAATACATAGCATGAGTCTTTGAAACCGGTACCGTGACCGAGGAGGGAAAGCCTTTGTTACTACATTACCTGCTGTCTCAGGCAGCTGACTTCTCTTTGGCTTCGCCTGAATTCCTCTCTATTGACAAAGCAGCAACAACTGCTGCTTCTCCTGCCCACCATGTTTATTTTCTCCACTTTTTGTTTGGAGGTCGGGGGAGCTTCCAGGCACTGCCAGTTTGTCTGTTTTCTCTGTGCTTTTGACCTCTGTGCATTAAACTCTTACTGTAGGGCTTAACTTTAAACAGATGACTGTGATTATAAGCATTTGCATGCTAATAATCAAATATGTGTTTAAAGTGCCTTGCTAGTTCAGTTTTGAAGAGAAAAACATTCTCACTGTGTATCTGCTTTTAATCTATCACAGAAAGGGTTCTTGGTCTAGAATGGAGCCTCTAGGTGCTAATGGACAGTGTATCTTTATGTTGACGGTAGCATTCCCCAGGATCCAACTAAGAGTTGAGATCTCACAGTAAGTGCTAAACAAAAATTTTGACATTCCCTGTATCAAACACCTTACAGCGTGTGCAAACAAGCAAACACAGCAAGGTAAAGAAATCTAAAATGGTAGCACAGAGCCCATCGTATCAATTTCTTAGGGGTCGATGCGTATTGCTGGTGGAGATGCTATTATGCCCAAGTTGTCTCAGGAAGGGAAAGATTGCCCAGTGGCTCAGGCAAACCATGAAGATTAGCTTTTGTTCCTTGTTTCGAATCCCTCGACATAGAGGGAAGCTAGGACATTTCTCATGGTGACGTCTGTCATTCATCGCTTGAGGAATGAGTCACAAAAGTTGAGATGGCAGTTCTTGTCTTGAAATGTACCAGTGTGCTAAATAAAAAATACCCATCAGAAGGAAAATACATCATCTGCAGTAGGAGAAGTTTGGGGAATATTGCTTGTTTATTGATGATGTCTCTTCTCTCTCTCCCCCCTCCCCCTCCCCATTTTTTGTTGGTTTGTTTTTACAGCAGTTGTATGCTGCCCAACTTGCTGCGATGCAAGTGTCTCCGGGAGGCAAGATACCTGGCATGCCCCAGGGTAACCTTGGTGCTGCTGTATCCCCTACCAGCATCCACACAGACAAGAGCACAAACAGTCCTCCACCCAAAAGCAAGGTACTGTACCAGGTCCTGCAGCATTGTGTTTCTGACCATGTGGGTACCTGCATGTGGGGTTTTTTTCTGAAGGGTGTCTGTGTGCCTCTCAGTTGCAGGCGTCTTTGTTCGGGACGGCTTTCTAAAATAGGAGAATATTCGTAGTGCTGTTTTTCCAGTAGGAGGACCGCAGCACAATAGCACCAAACAACCGTTCATACGTGACGTCAGTAACAGACACCACGTCAGCTGAGGTCCAGTGGTTTCCCTTGCAGTGTCCTAGCTGTCACACTGCTGTTTCTTCCATCTGCAGTAACAGGTAGCAGGCTGAGGTGACCAGCCTCTATTCCAGCTGTCAGAACGCTAAGCTGGAGTCCGGTTAGCAGGGTGTCAACAAGAGATAGGAAGCGATGGGGCATCTCCTTCACGGCCAGATCCTGTCCTGGGGTTCAGTGTGAGTCTGTGGAAGAAGTTGTCTCCAAAGCAGTGTCGGTCGTGTCATAGAACAGGGCTGGTATCTGTCCATGAAGCGATGAGCTCTGGTGAATAATCTTTGTTGTAGCTGGGCAGTTAGGTCCATACTCATTTAAGAGGTCAAATTAGCATCTTGTAGTCACATCTGTGTAACACCATCAGTGTGTGCCTAGTTATACCTGGAAAAGAGACAGAATATATCCAGTGGAAGAAGATGAGCTCAGTGTATGCCATAGATAAGCAAAAGTAATGGTTCAAAATTGAATGGCACATCTTAGGTGTTGCAGAACAACTAAGAAGAATTTATCTAAGGAATGCAGGGAGAAAGCAGTCCCATCTAGATGACAGCAAGAGCTTGATAAAAACTTGTCCTTTCTTTTTGTTAGTGTCCTCTAGCATGCTGTCCATGTCTTTTATCCTGTCAGAGAAGATTCCTTGAATTGACAGTAGTGTCGTGTTTTCACCCTAACAGTAAAACAGCACGGATTAAAAATAACCAGACAAATAAATAATACCATTGTCAGCTCAGTGAGATAGATGTTCAAAGAATAAAATAGATGGTGTGTAACTAGTAGCTGTTGTGTTAATGAATCAAGCTCTGGGTCTACGTTTTCTTTCTTCTCTCCTCAGTGTAGAATTTCTGACGTCCTGAAGTTTATCCTTGGCTTGGCCGCCTCTTCTTTTATATACTGTAGAGCAAGGAGTCACAAAACCATGCAGTGCTCGATAATAATTCTGGGTTTTTTTCCCAAAAAGTAATGTCTATGGTTAACAAGAGATTTTTGTGCGCTTTACAAGGGGGTTTTTATTCGTGGCTAGCATCTTGCGAGATCCACTGCGCTTAAAATCCCGGTGTTGTTTTTGGATCTCTTATGCACAAGCAGAATGTCTGACGAGATCTAAGGGGACACAGTATTTATTTTGTGGCAACTGTGGAATTAGAAGGCCTGCCATATCTACCAGTAACGTCAAGCTGAACTGTCTTACTGGCAGCTGTCAAGATCAGCTCTGTTCTCCCTTATGTTTTACTGCTTTTTCGTATTTGTAGGTGTTCCAGTGCCTTTGGCTTGCAGTTCTGTAGGACACAAACAAAACTTATTTGCAAATTGCAAAGAAGAAAACACCAAAACAAGTGGGCCAAAAGGAAAGGAAGGGGGCTCCAAAAGGCTGTAAAATTGTGCAGCGTGAGCCCTGTGATGCATGCTGTTTTCAATCTGCTGTGTGCCAGTTGGAGACTCAGAGAGAGAGCAAGAGAAAGAGAAGGGATAATGCCGAGAAATGATAGAGTGGCTGTGACCTAATAAAAGAACAAGATTCTGTTCTAATGGTAATGGCGTATGACAGACGTATCACTTTGTCTGTCCTCGGCACCAGGGAGAGGAGAATTGGAGAAAGGTCACCTGCCCTGCCTGTGCTGTTGTGCGAGTGCTAGGCTGAGCTTTGAACTCCAGCCTGGAAGCGCAATTATTTATCATACTAAATGATAAAGAAACCTTTATAGAGCCTACAGTAATTAGAATAAAGCTTATACAATAGTGCAGTGGCCTAGCTCGGAAAGCATGCTGGCAAATCTGTCACAGTGGCAGAAACTGAAGCTTATGTGTTGAAACTAAACACCTCCGTTTGTGATTCTGTGAACCTTCCTGTGCTTTTTGAAAGCTTGTTTGTGTTCAGCAGCTCCAAAAGTTTGTTGTGTTTGCTGATTTTTTTTTTAATTGAGTTTTTTTTAGCTGTTAGCAAGGAATATCTGTCTGGGTTTCACAGCCATTTTTTAATATTTTTTTTTTTAATCCCCAGCAGAAACTTGGTTCATGAAGTTAGTTCATGGTGGTCTTTCTTTCTGTTACTGCACGTCAGACCTCTGCAGATGAACAGTTAGTGCCTTAGACAAGCTTTCAATAGATGCTGTTTGCTGAATCTCTCTTTTCAGCCCACAGTTTACACTGGCGCATCTTCGGTAATGCGCTCGAGTGTTTGGAGACAAGGAGACAGCCTTACCTGCGAGTGTGTCAAGCTACTGGCAAGCAGCTAGGTCACTTCTGAAAAGCTGTGGTTTTTTCTCTCTTGTATAGTGTTAAAGTTTGTTCGCTGCTCTTTGCAAGGATTCTTCAAAGTCGGCCTCAGCAGCAGATGGAACAACTGTTGGCTCTAGAAATGCTGAGAAGCATCAGGGGGAGTTTGCCAAGGATCATCCTTTAAATCTAGTAAGACTTGAACACGTCCCTGAAACTCCTCTAAGACCTTGGCAACTCCCATTTTGGCAAACCTTTTATCAGTGGCCCTCACCAGTGTTTGAACATTGTGCTGGGCCGACTACCCTGGCATCTTCTGTCGTCTTGCTCGCCTTTCAACAGATGTGACCTGAAATAGTCAAATTTGCTTCCTAGGTAGCGATACTGTAACTTTCAGGAAGCCATGAAGTAGAGATGCCATTATGCTGTGCTGCACACATTCTGTCAAGTTTTGGTTAGGAAACTGAGCTGGTGTCGTACATTCTTCCAAGAAGAAATCTGTGCCAGAAGAATTGATTTAAGAAACAGAGCTAGTGGAGCCTGTCCAAAAGAAAATGCGTGTGTCTTGCGGAAATGGATTTTAACACAGCTTCTTCTTGAGCAGTTTTAAAAACAGCCGGTATGCTAATCATACCATTCAAATTTACCAAGGCCTCCTCCACAACCCATTTGAAAGGCAACTATCTTTGAAGTTTGCCAAATTGTGCTGGATTTCCAAAGTCTGTCTTAAGCACATTTTGCCTTTGATCCTGTCAATGCTTGCATGCTGCTCTGTTGGGTGTTCAAGGTGGTTACAGGCTCCCAAGTAAGCAGGCGAGGACAGGCGCAGGTGAAGATAAGGGCTAGGCAGAACAACCTACCAGTCCATCTTGTGATTAACTTCAAGCCTCTTGCTTGTACAGGGCCACACAGAAATTAAAAAAAAAAAAAAAAAGCAATGTTATAGAGAATATGTTTATCTGAACAGTGACCTTTACCACGCTACCAGGATTCTCACCTGATAGCTATGCTCTTCACTGGCTTCAGATGAGGGGCACTGTTCTCTTGACAAGGACAGCAACATCACCCTCCCTTGTAAACCGCCAGGGCCCTGTTCATTCCTGCCTTTGCTCCTTGCTTCTTGTGTTGCACATATAAATATAGTGTCTAGTGCTTGCGTGATGCGATATCCTAACCCTTTCTGTGTCACCTTTCAAGTACAGTAATTCTGGACTGAATTTTCATTGTCGCTTGTAAATGTAGCTAAATGATTCCCTGTATTTAATGGAGCACAGTGCATTGTCTGTAGCATCTGCTGAAAAACAGGAGCAATTCAGTGTGAAATGTGACAGGAGAGAATTCCTGGGCACTTTCCTTTTAACCTTGTTATGACCTTAGCCCTAACCCTACTCACAGTTGTGTCTCCATCAATGACAACAGCACACAGATTCTCCAAATAATTTTTTTTGTTCTTTTCAAATACTTCTGGCAGTGATGTTACTGTTTGCTCAGCAGTAGCACCTGGGAGTTGTGACAAGGAAAGGAAATGTGTTTCAGACAAGCCAGAAACAGCACTAAGCAGTTGGATATACACAATCAGATTCTCCTCTGCTGCAATATCCAGACAAATATCGGTGTGAATCCTTAACCAAAGATTGTACTTTATTTTCACATTATCTGATCCTCTGATCACCAGAGTAAACATTGGACTGAAAATTTTGAATGTTGCCTATAGTCAGCAATACAATCGCCTTGGAAAGATTTAGAGCTTGCCTTTTTACCACAGCATAGATTGGCCTTAAAATGGCCGGGGACTTTCCAGGGGAACATCTTTCCATTTTTGAAGAATATCTGATGATGATGATGCTGCAGTTGCTGCCACGTGCACCAGCTGTGTCCTGCGTCTTATTTATAGTGTACGACGGATAGAAAGGGACTAACAGTGTGCTGGCTCCGTTCTCACCCAGGCAAGGTAAGCCTGGATATGAAACTACAACCGAGTCACTACTGAGTTTCTTACCAAGTACATCTGATAGCAGGGACAAAATAAAGAATAGGAGTCTTTGGAAATGGACGTTTTAATTCAGACACACCACAGGCTGTGTCATTTGGAAAAACAAGTAAAGTATTTACGGTAGGGAGCTGGTTGGGGGTTTTCCTGTCCCAGTCAAAACTGGTGATGGGACTGCACTCCCCAGTTTCAGTAGGAAAGCTTTCTTGACTCAGGTTAAAAACATGATGAAAAAAGAAGTAAAAAGTCTGAAGGGAAGGAGAAAGGAAAAGGCCCTAAAATGGCCTAGATGATATTGCTGATTCTACTTTGGGCAAGTTGTTGACTTGAACTTCATTTTAGATGACTGCCCTAAGCAGCCCTCTTAACTTGGGTGTATTTGTCTCCTTTCCTGCATTACTCTCTTTTGTATGATAGCGCAGAAGGTGAAAATTTATCCTGGGCAGATCTTGCGGAAGACATTAAGCTCCATTATGTACATAGCTGCATCAGTTTACTTGCCACATCAAGCTATGATGATTACAGAATCCTGGCTGATAAGTAGA